CTGGCAGATGAATAAAAACGATAGCATCTTCTGATTACCTGGTTAACAGCATTAGAGACAAGAAATTGATTCTATTATCTGATGCAGATGACACGTTTCCATCTAGTTAACCTGGGTCACCATAATGAAATCGACAGTAAAATATGAAACCGTCTAAGATCAGTTGATCTCACCAGTGAGGTCGAGACAGATGACAAATTTTGTTGTATATTATTCGTTTATTCTCTGATGATGGCTAAGGCGAATTCAGTGGAACGTTATATTTATGCTAAAAGAGTAATTCATTTTTTGCCACCCTGTTGGTAAGTGCAAAATCAGAAGATATATCTCCTTTCTTGTATTACACTGAGGAATGGTCCTCGTAAAAAATTGTTTTGCAGTGAATGTTATATTAAATCATAAACACTCGTATTTATAGGTTTACTAACAGATTGCTAGTTTTCGATACTGCCGGTAAGAATAACAATCGTCTGTCGGTTCTTCTGATTTTTTCATGGTGTAGAAGCTATATTAGTTTTTTTATTTCACAGCTTGAAGAAACTGCCCATTTGTATTGCAGAAAATAGCGGCATGAGGTCGGTGAACATTTCCTATAGGTAGGCCTCTATGCGAAATTTAGTTTTAATGTACAAATCAAGTTTATTACAAAAGCGTGTACAATCCGCGTGGACGATTAGTACTAATGTTGTGGCTCAGATGACGTGGAATTGTTGACGAAAATAGTAGTTCGGTATTTTAGCACTTTATTTTCCTCAAGCTATGTATGCAGGCAAAGCTTATGTTGAAAGAACATGGATTGCTGTTTACTTGCTGCTATGTGCCAGTGATTAATACTGACCATATTACTAGTTACTGCATATTTGTTAATTTATAGTTTTGTTTGTAGTTATGCATTATGTAAATGCAAACCTTCAGTTGAACGCGTATTTTGCGGTGTATCGCACTTGTAAGTGATCAGTGACTAAAGAATGGGGATAAGATTTGATCCGGCTCGATGACGCTTTCATGATTCACCGTGTTTCCTGAAACCGAGGTGGAAACACTCACCTTTCGCATTAATAGTTGTATCGCAGTTCAGGCGTTTAGACGCAACCATCTACTTTTATAGTAACCGCCGCCAGTGTCATTGTTCTGAAGATTAATTCATCAAGGTTTCTTCGCAAAGTTAACGGTATTATTTTATGATAATGAATACGTAGCGAGGATTAGAGCATGCTGAAAATAATGTAATTTTTTTCTAATTTAATATTTGTCATATTTTTGAACGCCATGGTTCAAGCTTGGTGTCTCTGGCATGAAGAATTTATAATAGACAGCGTTTGAGTGACAACCTATTGTATCATTTGATGCTATTCAATTTAAAGAAGAGCATTTATTACAAATCTCTGCATAGGGATCTGTATCTTAAATGAAACATGGCGATAGTTTAATCTTGTAGTGTGACGTTTGACTGAGTGATGATGACTCTTTGGCGAGACAAGCGTGAGATCCTGCCGATAATTGTTGAGAATGGAAGGAAAATGACGCGTTTAATTTTGAAGACCTGGAAATTACGCTTGTTAACCTTATCGAGATGTACACAGTCATGTCGGCATCACTGACCAGTGGATGACGTTTACCATTGTAGCATTTGATTCATTCTTTTGGGTGGGGTTAAGTATTTCAGGTCCTACGAGCGGCGCTAGTGTTGTTAAGCATTTTCTATCAGTTGTGCCTTTCTTTGAACGCTTCTTAATGTGAAAGTCCGGATGACTCAGAACACTGCGGTGGTGGCAATGAATTCAGCATGTTTGCTAACTTACTCAGTCAAGCATTCATGCATTCTGAGTTGGAAGTAGAGACTGTCGGAAGATCAATCACAAGCCTATGAAATGCAGATGACGTAATACTCCGTTTGTATATCTCCAGCAAATTTACAACAGTTGGAAAAGAAATTCTCCATCACCGATAAACAGGTTGGTCTAAAATTTGACATTTTACAATTGCCAGTGCATAT